ACCCCAACGATCTCCAAGTCTCCAATCTGGTAAGTACCACAGTCTCATATCACCGAAATCCAACTCTGATCTCTGTCCAACTAGCATAAGTCTCCAGTCTGAAGAAGAAGAAGAAGAAGAAGAAGAAGAAGAAGAAGAAGAAGATGATGAAGAAGAAGAAGAAGAAGAAGAAGAAGAAGAAGAAGAAGAAGAAGAAGAAGAAGGAGGAGGAGGAGGAGGAGAGAGAGAGAGAAGCTGACGAGGGAGGGAGGAGAGGTCCTCCGGCTCCCAGGTACCTCAGGCGGCAATGGCCGCAGTGCTGGCTCAGTCGCCCTGCTGCTGCTCCGCTTGCTGCTGCGCTAATGCTGCGCTGCCGCTGCTGCTCCTTGCTCGCTCCTGCGCTAAACTTAGCGCATCAAAACAGCGCTCTGGCGCTGACCATACCGTACCGGTATAGTGCCGGTAGGTCGATGCCTCCAAGTGAGGCTGTACCGGTACTTTATACCGGTGGGGCAGAGGCCGGCCTCAATGCTGCGAGGCCTGGCCAYGCCCTGAACCGTCCAGATGGACGGTTCAGCCCCAACCAGCGGGCGGCAGCCTCAAGAGCGCCGCCAGGCCCAAACGATAATGCCGTTTGGGCCTGCCCGTTGGGTACTGGTCCAAGATCAGGCCCTGAGGGCCTGTGTCCCTCCGACCCTAAGTCGGGTCCGGTAGGGCCCGTGTGCGTCGAAGATGTAACACGTGCACTCAGTCGGCCGACCACTTTCTTGGTGTTAGAATCAGGAGAGGAAAGGAGACTGCGGAGAGAAGCTAGGGAGAGGGGCATATTGCAGAGGGCAACGGCAGCAGCAGCCGACGCTGAGAGAGCACTAGCAGCAGCCACAACAGCAGAAGCTAGAGCCACATCAGAGGCAGCCATGGCTACCGCCTCTGCTATGTCACAGGGCTCGTCCCAAGCCTCTTTGTCAGGAATAAGTCGGGGTATGTCAAGGTCTACCCCGAGTCAGAGCGCTGGCTTGCAGGTCAGCCAGCAGCAACCCATGTCAAATGAGGATTATGAGATCCAGCAAACGAATGTTCTCCATGCAGAGTTACAGCGCCCGTTACGGGAAGTAGAAGAAAGGAGAGAGAGAGTTAGACTTAGAAAAGCCAGGCTAGAGTCAAGGGCAGAGGAGCTAGGCAAACTAGAAGCTATAGATGAGTCGACACTTGATCCTGTGGTGCAGTCCCTTCGGAACTCCTTGTTGAGCGTAGTCGAAGAGCAGGACGTACAACAGGACATGTTGGCGGCACTGATAGCCAACCAGAATCAGATTCTGACCGCATTGAGGGCGCTTCGACCTCCGGTGAGGCCACCCCAGATTGCTGTAGTTCCCCCTACGGTTGCAGGTCCTTCGATGACGCTGCCGCCGACAGGGCAGCCCTTTGCCCCACAGTTTGGCATACCCCCATCAGGCCGAGTAGCAGCAGGTAGTAGTGGGCAGATTCCTGCACAACCTTATTCATTCCCCCATTCAGTGGCTGCTGCTACAGGGCAGCCACAAGTGCAGCAGCCCTTACAACAGGGTCCACCGCAGCAAAAGAAAGTGCTGCTGCAGCAACAAGTGCCGCCGCAGCGGCCTGTTCAACCAGTTTCTCAACCGATGCAGCAGGCACAGGGTGCTGTACAGCCTATGCAGTGGACAGCCAAGATACCCTTGTTGAGTCCTAAGCCCTCCTTTGGCGACAAGAAGAAGGACGGGGACCTGGATACCTGGGTGAGGACTGTACCTACGTATGTGAGGCACAAGCTCACTAGGACAGAGGAGGAAGTCATTGTCGCTGCATCCTTTCTCGAAGGATCTGCAGCTAGATGGTTGAATGGGTTAGTACAGCAGCAGGGCTACGGTCAGAACTTCGATGGCTGGGCATAGGTCAGAACATTGGAGGAGTTTGTACGGCTGGTCTATCACAGGTGGCATGACCCCCAAGGGGCTCAGAAGGCCACTGACTCGCTTGCAAGTCTGGAATCAAAGAGATACAAGATAGTTTGCAAGGTAACAAACGTCGTAGAGCAACTGATTGTTGTCCCAGGTGTGCGGTACGAACCGCAGGTCCTGTTGACGACTTATTTGAGATGTCTACCTACAGATGTCAAAAATAAGTTGGTCGATAAGGCCTCCATCGACATGCACGACTTCGCTTCATTCAACAAGAAGGCCTCAGATATTGAGGCTAGGCTTGGGAGCGCCCAGCAGGGACCAGTAGATGGAAGGAAGAAGAAGCTCCCTCGTGATTGGAGGAAGAAGGGCAATCTCATGTTTGCTGACCACAACGGCCAAGCAAATGAGATTGACGACTTCTCTGATCTTATGGAAGAAACGGAGATAGACGGGAGTGGGGATACTTCAGATGGTGGAGTAGCTGCGCCCATTAGAGAAAGGGTAAGGGCGGGGGGGGAAATAGAAGGCAGGCCAGCCCACGGGTTAAAGTGACCAAGGACCACCCATATGGGTAAAGCTTGGTCTGGAGTATGAGGTGTGGCGAGACCGTGTTGTGTGAGGCGCTTGTCTCAACTGTGGCCAGTATGGGCACACAATGAGCAAGTGCAAGAGCAAGCGGGTCATTGGGAAGGACACGTCCTCTATTGTGACAGTTGGATCTTCCAACTCTGGTGCTGCTTCTACAAGCACTTCCCAGGGAAACACCTCCGGCTCGTAGGAGTGTGAGTCGCTCTTACTCGTGCTGAAGTGGTTACTTTACCTTCTCCATTATAGACGATGGCCAAGGCTATTGACCCCTTGATCGCCCCGCAGACAAATCCAAACTAGTCAATGCTTTGTTCGATGGATGTGCCCGAGTCCTTGGAGGAGTTACAAACTAAGTGGTTAAAGAAAGACCCTAGAGACTCCTAGGCAATGTTGAACAAAGGTATGAAGGGTGAACATTTCGTCCTACAAGTCAAAGTAGATGGCCAAAAGGTTGGCACCTTCGCAGACATAGGTTCTACGCTGAACTTCATCAGTCGTGCTTGTGTGGATAGGCTGCGCTTAGGGGACCAAGTGCAGCGGCTTACCAGATTTGTAGCATCTACCTTAGCCAACACGCACTCTATGATAGTCAGAGACAATGTCAAGGACATAGTCTGCGCGTTCTCCTATGGAGGGGCGGAACTGAGACACAAGATCTCGTTCCTAGTTAGCGACGAGTTGCCATTTGACATGTTGCGAGGCATGCACTACCTCGAGGTTGCTAAGCCTCAGTTCAATTGGGATAGGAAGGTGATGAGCCATAAGTTGCCAGATGGGAGGACCGTTAGGCTGCAAACATTTAAGGCTAGCAAACTAGTGGAGAGCTATGGTTGCATGCGCGCGTCGTCTTTCTATAACTACTACAAGCATAGTCGCGAGGAAGGTGTGTACTTAGTATTTGTCTCTAAGAAAGGGGAGACCGTAAAATCACCCACGCGATAGAAGTCGTCCCCAGTAGAAAAGTACCTAGAGGGCTGCAGAGTTGGATGAGCTCCGCCGCCAGCTCAAGGAGCTCACAAAGAAGGGTTGGATACAGCCAAACACGTCCCCCCACGGAGCGCCAATTTTATTTGTTCCAAAGAAAGGGGGAACACTAAGTGCATCGACTATAGGGGCCTCAATGCCATCATTGTTAGAACGCAAAGCCCCTACCACGCATTAACGACCTCTTGGATAGAGTGCAGGGATGTCGGTACTTCACAAAGATAGATCTGAAGTTCGGATACCATCAGATTGCTAGTAGACCTGAGGACCAGCACAAAACCGCCTTTCAGACCAGGTGCAGTCTGTACGAGTTTGTGGTGATGGCCTTTGGCCTATGCAATGCTCCTGGGACGTTCCAGCACGCAATGAACCGGATCTTTCATGACTATGTAGACAAGTTTATCATCGTGTACCTCAACGATATCCTTATCTTTAGTAGGACTGTAGAGGAGCATCCCGAGCACATGAAAATAGTGTTAGGGCTCCTAAGACAGCACAAGTACAACGTTAACTTGGAGAAATGCGGATTTGGTCGCACCAAGATCTTGTATATGGGTCATGAGATTTCCGCGGATGGGTTGAGGCCGCATGATGCCAAAATGGCCAGCATACGTGATTGGCACAGACCTCAGTCTGTGACTCAGGTGAGGTCATTTTTGGGGGATGACAGGCTACTACTGCCCATTTGTGAAGAACTATAGTACTGTAACCTCCCCTCTAACTGACCTCACGCGCCTTGACAACCCTTAAGAGTGGAGCGAAGAGTGTGTGAAGCAGCCTTCAACAGATTGGAGTATGCCTTGACTCACTATGAAGTCCTCAACCTTTCGGATCCTGAACAACCCTTTGTTGTGACCGCAAATGCCAACCAATATGGCATAGACGCGGTCCTTGCGCAAAAGGAGGGGAAAAAGTTGACGCCGATCGAGTACATGAGCAAAAATATGCCATCTCATAAATTAGCCAAGTCCACGTATAAGCGCAAGCTCTATGCTCTCTATAGGGCGCTGGTCCATTGGAGGCACTACCTCCTAGGCAGATTCTTTTACGTGAGATTTGACCATGAGACGCTGCGTTGGATTAAGACACAGCCCGTGTCCTCTGACGCACTCAAAAGGTGGATGATGCAAAAAAGTATGTAGAGACTTGCCAGGTTTGTCAACGTGACAAGCCAAGGACGCAGGCACCTCTTGGGCTTATCAAGCCCTTGCCAATTCCTGCTGGTCCTGGTCAGAGTGTGTCCATGTACTTCATGGATACTCTTGTGACCAGCGAGAGCGGTAAAAGGCACATCTTCGTCATTGTGGACAGGTTCAGTAAGTACGCTAGACTAATCACTATGTCGGAGACATCTAGGACTCACCACGTCATCAAGTTGTTTATGGACAACTAGGAACGTGACTTCAGTCTTCCGAGACCATCGTTAGTGACAGTGATGTCAGATTCACAAGCGAATTGTGGCAAGGTACAACCCAACAGATGGGCACCCGTCTGCAAATGGCATCAGGGAACCACCCTGAGTCAAATGGCCAGGTTCAGCAGATGAACCGGGTAGTGCAGCAGTTGTTGCGGCATTATATTAAGCCAAGCCAGGATGACTGGGATGAGAAGCTACCTCTCATCGCCAGACTGTACAACAATGCTGTGCACAGCACTACCGGTATGACTCCCAACCAGCTGCATCTTGGTTGGAAGCCCGGATCTGCTCTTGACTTTTTGTTGCTTGAAAATCAGCCAACTGCAGCACCAGGCAGCATAGAGTTTGTTGTCAAGTACGAATAGATGTTGCAGCAGGCCGTTGAGCACATTAAGAAATATCAGGATGCAATGGTAGCATCAGAGAACAGACACAGACAACCCTCTGTATTTCAGGTAGGTGAGCGAGTACAGGAGCTAGGAATCTCTCGTAAACTGATGCCACAGTATTTCCGACCCTGGGAAGTTTTGGCATCATATGTTATTCGCATCCCTGGTTGCCTCCGTACACAACCTGTTTTCCATGCATCTAAGTTGGCACCCTTCGCTGAAACTGAACAGTTTCCCTCAAGAAGACAGATGCTGCCTCCAACCATGGACTGACATGTGGATATTGACAACATCGTCGAGCACAAGCTGATGCCTGTACCCAAGCCTCCAGGCAGGGGACGCCCTTCGAACCGCAAATGCAGTATCGACTGTTGTTCAGACACCATACTGATCCTAAAGAAGATCGGTGGTTCACAAGAAAAGAGTTGATGAAGACTACTTCCCAAATTATCGCAAGTTATGAAGGAAATTTAAAAGGGAAGCAACTTGTTGTGTAACGACTTCTCAGAGGACTATCGAAATAAAGGAGAAGGGTATGCGAGGGTTTACGCCTCAGCATAAGGCCCTACAACAGGCACTTGCCCATGCTACGTGAAGGCAGGCCCCCTGAATCTCAATGCGCCGTGAATTCGTCAATTTCTGCAAATCTTGGTGGGCGCCAGACAGTTGCCATGTGCCAGTTGGTTACATCCGCTTTGCTTGTGAGAATCGGGAATATGTGTGAGCCTTCCAGTCTCTTCCAGCAATGTGGTCGAAACAGGGAGCACCGCACGTTTGTGCCTGGGTGGTTGGGCATGCCTAACCAATTCGATCCCAGGCCACTGTCTAAACGGGCCTTGGGCGCAACGACTTTGGCCGATACTAAAGCTACTGGAAGGGGGTGGCAATTCACCCGCTACTATCCATATAGAAAAGGGACGGGCTCCGAATTTGATGTTCGGGCACTTGGGGGGCGGCAGCATTGCTGGAGCGCACCCTCGCGTGCTGCTGCTAGCGCCAGTGCAGAAGCGCGCGTGTGCGGTTGTGCAAGAGGCAGGGCGCTGCTGTGGGCAGCACCATAGCCCAGCCTACGTAGCCGGGCTTGGGATTGGACAGCCCGCGAGAGGTGGTGGTGGTCTTCGTATATGAGGGAGAAAACGTGGGTGATAAAGTCAAGGGTGAGAGAGAGAGAGAGATGAGGTTGATGATGTGAGGGTTCATACCTGGTCGTGGCAATGGTCTACAAGATCGACATCTTGATGTACTTCGGTTGTAGTTGCTGACGTCAACAGGATGCATTGTCAATTCGTAGGCTGCTAGTAGCTGTGTTCTTTGATTGGTACACTTGCCTGTGGCACGTACGCATGCACGGAGGACGACATCGGCGGCAACGTGAATTGTAAAAACACCTTACTGAATCCGCACGTCATGCAATACCCGTTTATATGGGCATTTGCTAGCACTAGGCTCAACCTTGGACCTAGTACTATTGGTTACGGTGACAGACTTTCGTTTGAAAGATTCAGGAATCAAAGCCAGCGGACGGTGGCGCGGGAGCATCAGAGCGGCATGGAGGAACCGATGGGTCGAGGGCCCAACGGGGCTATCCCCCTCGGTTTTTGCCGTCAGCGGAGTCGAGGCGGTGCCGGCGGTCCCTTTCTCTTCGTCGGTCATTTTCTGACAGTTCAATTTTTTCTAAATAGTCTATTATTTGCTGCCTTATTAAGCGTCGGATTTAAGGACCGTCG